CTTATTTATCATTTTCGAAAGGTATATAGTACATTTATTTATAACTTTTTGCAAATATCAAAAATGAAATAGCAAGGCATGTAGAGCGGAACAGATGTTACAGATATTTACACAGAGGAAAAGCAAAGATGGAGGCTGCGGTTAATCCCTCATCCAAATTTGGAACACAAAGAAAACAAAAAATTTATGTAAATTTGTTTGTGGAAATCGATTTGCCGCGGAATGTTTTTCCACCAAAATGACATAAGAAAAAGGTTTTCGTTATTAAAACACTACTGGTTACCACGTAGTGATAGGGTCTAATTTTGATTATAACCCTAACATACATAAATATGTATGTATATTCATAATTTATTAAATTTTTTAGATTATATAATGTTTCTCTAAAAGATTTATGTTTGTATAAATAAATACTCACCACATATCCCAGCTAAATATTGATTTTTTGCGTGATCTTCCATTGTTAAGACGAATTATATTTTTTTTTAAATTTTGGTTTTAATTGTTAACGTTTGTGGGGAAATTAAAATACATTTTTTTTTTAAATTAACACTGTCCAACCGAGACATCGGATGATCACTGATAGCTACTTGTATTTGCAAATACAGGGTATTGCTTCTATGTAGAAATAATAAAGATTTTAAATATTTAAATCACATATATATTTACATTTACATAACACATACAAGCATAAAAGCTACACTACGATTAAATAGAAAGAGAATAAAACATTTTTATCACTTGAATAAACATTTTTTATCACGATTTACTTAGTAGGGTGTAGCTAAGAGATCACGGTTTGTAAATGTGAAACAAGCGGGCAATAATTACCCCAGAAAATTATCGTTTACAGGAAAAAAACCTAATACTTAGTTTCATTTGTAAAAAATCGACCTCCATTTAAAAATACTTTCTTTAAAATTTCTTTATAAATCGAACTCTAATAAAAAATGTAAACAATAGAAGTCTCAGAACCTCAGTAGAACAAAAACTTGTCACTATTAAAACTATCCAATGTGACACCAGATTTTTGTATTAAGTAGGGAGATTATTTCTTGTCATTTAAGGAGAATCCGACGACTTTTATAAGATTAAAAGGAAAATTAAAAATATATATTTTTATCCAATTAGGAAACGCATTAGGAATTAATGAGATCCCTAATTGAATTGTACCGGGAGAATGGAAAGTTAGCTACGGGTTTCGTATATTCTGTACCAAAATTATTTTAACAGTATATAGGTGCGGCGGAATGATATTTAATTTTATTCAAGAAATGTGTAATACGCGGTTCACACAAAGTAACTTTTTGATTTTGAATGAGTGAGATTAAAGAAGAATAATATTTCTATCTTCTGTGTCTAAGTATATCTTAATAATTTCGAACAAAAAACGCTGAAAAAAGGACAATTTTTAAATAAGTCGAATACATTCTCTAATGCTTCCCTAGAACTACCTAGTTTCTAGATTGACAAATTCGAAAAAAATCATTGATTAAAGAACTAGTTCCAGAACCGTTCCAAAGAACGAGTGTCGACTCCATAGCGCACTCTCAGAACCAGTTCCGAAGGTGAAAATTTCGAACAAAAATCATTGGTCTCAACGCCAAACTAGAACGAATACAGGCTGAAAAATGCGTTCTGGAACTAATATAATTTTTCTTGGGATGTAAATATTATTTTTTAATAAAAAACTTTTCCATGAAACAGTATGTAAAGCATAGAAATTTGGTTTTTAGAAAGCAAATGTACGATTATAAACGCGAAAATCAGTGCCACTTTTATATAATTTGAATCAAAAATTATACAATGTCTTAAATTGAACGTCCTAATCTGTCCATCAATAGGTAGCATCTTGCGGTCTTAATTTTCAAAATGATAAATGAGGTCCGCTTTTTACAAAACTTATTATTTCTTTAAAGTTATCACTTTAGAACAATAACAAAAATCATTATAAATCATTTACTTACCGACCAATATTTCGATATGGGTATGAAAATATATCAATGTTTACAATACAGATGGCGAATTACTGCATACGTGATCTAGTCAAATTTACTTAATTTGAGAGGAGAGAGTGCTACAGGGGTATGAATGCGTAATATAGCTAACCAGTTGGTACTGCCATAGCCTCTTCATATTCCAATGACCGACCATGTGTGGCAAGAGTCACACCCTGCACGAGGTATCTCTGCTCATTCATTGCAAAACATGGCGGATCTACAGTGGACGCTCGATAAAAGCCGTAATCCCGGGTGTTATCCGTACCGTGACCATGAGATGAATGGCACTACGTTAGTGTATCATACTACGGTGGCCTCCCGACCAGAGTACTGTCCGATTGTATCTTTTGCCCATCTGCTGTAAGGGGCTCTGTTGCAGATGTTTTTATTTCCCCATTAATATTCTATTTTTAGATGGATCTTAAACTTTCAAAAAACAAAGAAATCGAATCAGGTCAGGTCCCCATGGACCTAGCTGAACCCGAGCAAGGATCTATGGATCTGAACGCTCACATTGTAGTGGATAACTCGATGTTGGGGGACTCATGTCCTAACTCTACTGAGCCAACGGATGCAGAAGATGCGTTACTGGAATCTTTTCCTAATACGCAATTCTCTATAGCAGCCATAGAACCAAAGGCAACACTGTCCATAGAAAGGCCAAAGCTTAATGGCGCATCGCGTAGGAGTCTAAAAGCCTATATCGAGCACGGCATGGACATCGAGGAGGCACGTAAAATCCGCCTAAAACCGATGAAGGAAGTTCTCAATGTGCTGCGTGACTTAAAACTCCCCAGAAAAGAGGCAGATCAGATGGATCAACTCCAAAAAGGCCTAATTCTCCGAAACGGGTAGTTAGTTCCACCGCAACTGGCGCGCATGAAGCTGCGAATGCAACCGAAAATAAGTCACAACCGCACTCTCAACCATCGTATACAGATGTTGCAGAAATCATCCGTCTTGGTGTCATTCCACCAGAATTCCCAACGGAAATGTGGTCTGACGAAAAACTTAGGATAATTCAGACGGCAGTCCTGGATAAGATTGCGGAGCTGAAAAAGGGCTCTATAAAACCACAATTAGCAGGATGCTCATTTGGTTGGTTGGTATTCAACTGTAAGGGCAGAGAGCCCCCCCGGGCATGTTTCCTTGATGTTCAGACCGCATCTTGGTGTATTGCAATCCGGGGGTAGATAGGTGCTACCAATACCTGTAGTCTTCCGGGACTATAAATTGGTGTTGACGATTTACTGCCTGGCCTAGTCCTTGCATAAATCGAAAAGAGGTCTAACCAGAGCACCACATAATCTGGTACTACGGGTGGCCAGTTGCCCGCAGGACTATGTCCTGGCTGGTCAGTTGGTTGAGGTTCCTTCGGGATCCACGTAGTGGCTGTGGTTTAAACCTAAATCGCAGGAAGGGGGTGCTTGGTTAAAAGACTGATACACGGTGAAATATAAATTTTCAAGATACATTTCTGTTATCGTTCCTAGATGCAAGGAGCGGTACAAATTGCAGAGCATGACTGTGGATTAATAAAATGTTGGAATTGAGCTGATAATGCGAAGAATTGGTAAACGAAGATGAACGATGTTTCTGATGTCTACTTTGAATTCTATAAAGAGAATGGAGTGATTGATGGATTTGACGGATGTGTGATAAATGGGTACAGATGTAAGATGAACGATGAATGATGAATGAGAGTTAGACTACGGTCTATCTAGCCAATGGAGTGCGAAGTCGTCACTGCCCTTTCTTTAATTTTGAAGCGATTTTCCAACATGGTTGAGTGTATGCTCAACTTATCACAGTGGGTGTCTGTGACCACTGAAATAAAGTCTTGTCAATTAATATAATCTGTGTTTTTCGGACTACCAATTACGTCCCCTAGGTGCTGTTGCCGAATCAACAGAGCCTTAGTAGTGTGGTTGGGCGACATTATGTCGGGGTAGATTGAGCTTGCTCATGATACTTGTATTTCCTCAACGTGACTACTTTGGCAAGAGATTAGATAGCTCGAGTACTTGAGCAAAGTGCTTGTACATGGACCGGCATATCCATGTACAAAAATTGCGACCTACGTGTAACAAACACAAAGGGGCAGTGGTGAGTTGTTTACTTGATACTCACCCAGTGGTTGAAAAAGTACCACCGTGGGGTAGGGCTACACAGCCAGGTACTCACGTAAAGCACTTCGACATCTTGTAAGGGCAGAGACTCGGCTAAGTGGATTAGAGAACATGTCCACAATTAGCAGGATGCTCATTTGGTTGGTTGGTATTCAACTGTAAGGGCAGAGACTCGGCTAAGTGGATTAGAGAACATGTCCTGTTGCTGAAACCTTACTTCAAGTCCTGTCCGAAGATGATTTTCCTAGGGCTGAGATCTATGCGGGATATTTCCCAGAAAAGCCCGAAACGGAAACATCCAGGATGCTATCCCTAATAGAAGGGCAAAATGCTGATTTCTCAGTGAGTACTGGAAGGTACTGAACCGAGTCAGCAAAGGCAACATCCTAGAAATTATATTTGCAATTGACCCAACATCTGCCTCCAAACTAAAAGAAAATCGCTTTCATATAGGCTATGGATATGGAACAGTTCATATTAGGCTCACACATCGCCAAAATCCAAGGTTATCTGAAACGGGACTCTGGAAATTCTAAGATCAAGAGTCATTAAGTTTGAACTTTGTAAAAAATCGAAAACCATATGGGCCACTAGCGGCTGTCCCCAAGGAGGCGGGCGTATTATCGCCTTTATTATTGACACTGGTAATCGATACTCTACTTCAAAAACTAAATGACTTATGTTTTCGAAATTATGGTTATGGCATAACCAGAAGCCTGCGATAGATATTATCGCAGGCTTCGACGATGTAACGAGGCATTATATGCATGTAAAAGGGGCTATTCTCTATTAATTAAAGTTAATAATCGTTTTTGCATAAGGAAGTAAATCAATAAGTAGTATGTATAAGCAATTTAAATAATATTTTTTATTTATTATTATTTTTAAACATTTTAGTTTTGCTGGTAAATAATACATATACACATGCACGTTTTCCTTAATATTATGGTAAGTTGCGGAATGAGTAAAACTATAAATTTAATACTATAAATTTTGAAATATGTAGAATTGATTCATTTTTAATTACTAACCAAATACTCAGGTATTTATACTTGTATACTTAAGGGATTACTATTCCAAACTGCGGAGTAAAGCCCTCCATGCCATTAATTATTAATATTAACTACATATGTATGTATGTATGTACTATTTTTATGTACTATACCTATGAAACACTTTATAAAAGTGAAATTTTGTACGATTATTTTGTTTTCTTATTATAATTAATTGTAGCACTAAAAAATTAGGAATATTATACGGAACTAATCATTATCTTTAATGGGTGGAAATACGTAGTCATCACTTAAAGTACTAATATCGATGTAAGCACTGCTGGCGCTTAATATTGTGTAAATCTCTTCAAACGATGGTCTTTCGTCACAAAATTCACTCCAACATTTCAACATAAGTTCGTAGATTTGTTCAGTACAAATATCGGGTTTTTCTAAACGTCCTCCCATTTTCAGAAACTTTACCAGCTCATGATTACTTAATGTGGGATATGGAGACGCTCCTAATGTGCCGATTTCCCATAAAACCACACCATAAGCCCAGACATCGCTTTTATTTGTATAAATATTGTCAAGTATTGCTTCGATTGAAAGCCATCTCAGTGGCAACTGTAAATTTGTAAAAAGGAGAATTCGTTTTAATTCAACGTAAAATATACATATATCGTCATATGAAATCCAAAAAGCCCTAAGTCACATTGAACAAATTTTTTAGGAGAAGCAAAAAACCGTCTAAAATGATAAATATACTTACGGAGATATGAAACTTACGCCTTTGAGAATTTGTTTTTTCTGAAACCCAAAAGGGCCTAAGTTACATTAAAAATAGTAAGTTTTAACATTTTCAACTAAATTCAAATCGGTTTTTGTTGGTCAAATAGACCAAAACATGGAAGGCATAAGGCTTATTTGTTTTCATAAAGATTTTAGGAAATTGGAATTTTTCTTTGAAAAAATTCTAAAAATGATAAAATAATCTCTAAATTACAAGGATTCGTTAAAAGTGACATTTTTGTTTCATTTGAATCCAACTTATAACATTTCACAGCTTCGAAGTTAAAAATTCAAAAGAATTTTAAAATTTTCATGAATTTTAAGGTAATTTTAGAACATAACCTTTTAGAATTTCTTTGATAGGGACGTTGATTTTAATTGTAGGAATGTAACATTTAGCAGGAACGTGTATTTTGATACGGTGCATCATAATCAATCAAAAAGTCGATTTTGATTTTTTTGTAACTTAGGGCTTTTTGGATTTCATATGACGATATGTATTTAGATGTAATGACACTTACCTTTCTAACTTTGGTATTAACGTATACGTCATGGCGAGATAAACCAAAATCTGAAATTTTTAACGTCTTTCTATCATCGATCAGTACATTACGTGCAGCCAAATCGCTGAAATGTTTGAATAAATAAATTTTTAATAATAAGACAATCATATATCACAACATACCGGTGAGTAATTTTTTGTTCCTCCAAAAATCTCATTCCATTTGCAATTTGTAGAGCGAAATCATAAAGTTCTTTATTATCCAACCGATATTCAAAAATTTTCGTGTCCGCATCGTCTTCATCGTTGATAACCGTATATGTGGCTGGAAAGGTAAATGGTATTATTTTTAAATAAGAGAAATTGTATTAATGAAAATTAAAAAAAAAATACAAATATAAAGTAATGCAGAACTTGTACAGAAATCGTTCTTAACACTTGTTATAAAACGATACCTTAAAAGATTTTTAGACGATCTTATGGTTTTTCTTCATCGATTCCAGTAGTAGATGTAACACCACTAGTTCTAGAATGTTATCAAAGAATCTGAATTGGTTCCGATAACATAAGTTCTAGAACTAATGATAAAAGAACCAGTTTTATTATTTTTTTTTAATGAGCAACAGATTGAAAAATGGCGTTCAAAAAAGAGAAATATGGCGGTAGCTACATTACCTACTATAAAAACGATCATTATAAATATTTATGGAAATGATAATAAACATACTTTCAGCAAATGATGGTATGGGAACGCGCGCCATTGATTCATTTTCACTGTCAACGGACTGTGTAGAGGTCATTTTTAGTTCCAAATATTTCAATTTAACATCATTTTGTCCAGAAGTTCTTACAGAAGATCCTAAATTCTTATAATTGGCATTTTGTTTGATAAGCTTTGTACTTTCTTCACGTACTTTACGTAGATATGATAACTGTATAAATAATACAAAAAATAAACATTAATTGTTAAGTAATATTAGCTGTAATAAATACTAAATACATATAATAGTTAATGATCCTACCAAATCGCCCCGACCAACGTACTCCATTACCATAAAATATGGCCTTTCAAGTGTACAGCATCCTAAAAATCGAACTATGTTGCTGTGCATTCCAACATTTTGTAGCATTTCTATTTCTTTTAAAAATTCACTTTCCTCTTCTTGAGTTGACATTTCTGAAATTGTAAAAATTGTTATAAGAACACATTGGCAACAGAACAAATTGTGAAGACATACTCTTAAGTTGTTTAACAGCAACCAGCTCGCCTCTCTGTACTTGTGATAAATTTACAGCTGTAGCTCTGAAAACGCGACCAAAGGCTCCTTCTCCGATTTCAGCTTCAATGTGTATATCACCGGGAGCTATTTCAAATTGACTATTTCTTTGTACCATCTGAAACTAAATGTAAAGTGGTATTCACAAAACAACAATTTGAATATAATCAGAAAATTACCTCAATATATGGAACGTAATTAATATTGTTTTCCATTCTAAAATTAAATGCAAAAAATACTACATATTAACTATTTTATACAAAAAGTATAAACTTAAAAATAATAATTTTAATAGTTTTCATACATTATTTTGAATATACGTACATATATTGAACTCGTGATTCTTTTCCCAGACAAAATGTATATCAAATGAAAGGTCTTTGGAATATTCCAAATACATACATATGTTTGTATGGAGAGGAAAAATGGTACTGATGTTCTCACCGAAAATTCAAGTTTAGTTTAAAAAACTTATTATGGAATGTTATGATACATCATTGAAAAAGCCTCTCAAAGACCTTTCAAATGATATCAAAGTTCAAGTTATTCATTTGAGTGAAACCCCGTAAAAAAGGACCTTTTTTCCGACTCACAAGGGCAAACATTTTGAAAAAAAGATGTCTGTTATTTAATTTTTCCTGGGAACATCAGTACCTTATTTGTTCTCCATACAAACGGGGAAACTCTAATGTGGATATGTAAGTGCCGGTTTACACAGGCAAACTTTTGTTGAAAAATATTTTCATAATTCTCTTTTAAAGTTTCCTTAATGTCTACACAGAGAAACTTTGGTTTCAGCAACGACGTATTAATAGCATTGATTTATTTTTGGTACGAATGAGAAGAATAACAAAACAACCCAGCGGTAAATAAAACAAAGTACTTAGATAATATTCGATGACATCAGTATGACGTTCTAAGCGAGCAATCTAAGTACTTAGAGTGCAATGCATGTGTAATCCAACATATCATGCACTTTAATTATAACATAGATTACGATTTAAGCAGAGAGTTAGCTGCCTTTTTCATGTTGTTTTTTGTTTTTATATCTATACAAAAAAAAAAAAAAACAGAACTAAAGTACCGTTTTATTTTTCTTTTGTATGTATACTACATGAAAAGAATAATATTTTTGTTTCAGTTTAAAGTTGATCTTTTGTAAGTGAAGTTGTGTTTTCTTAAACAAGTTATTTTATTGTAAAAATTTAAAATAATTGTGGTGATCTAAATGGCACAAGCGGATTTAAAAATTGGGGTAAATTTACTTCATACATTCTAGTTTTAATACTGACAATTTCCTCTTGTTTGTTTACAGGATCTGTAAAGGAAGATGGCCGAAAGTTTCAAAAGAAAATTAAGATTCATTTGATTTATTTTTGGTATTTTAATTATATTTTTATTGAATTAACTATAATACATGTTTATTATTTGATGATAATTTTTAAATAAACTTACATAATTTGAAATAAACGTAAACAAATATATATTTTTTCTTTAACAAAATCGGAAGACATGGTACTTTAACTTACAAATGCAAATAGGATTGTAATCTCCATACATTACATTCTTATTTGCAAGCGTTTATAGGCGTCTCATTAACTTCGCTTAGAACTCCACACATTATGTATGTGAAATTTTAATTTGTCTTAATGAAACTGTGGTTTACATTCTAAGCGAGAGCACATCGATGAGGCAGCCTAGGACACTTTTATGTTAAATCTAGGTGGAAGAATAAGTGAAAGCATCACCACTGACTGCCACGAAATATCACTTAGATAAGCGAGTACATAATGTGTATTTTTACCGCTGGGAAGCTACCGAGTACAAGAAACTTCGTACCGCGAGAGAGATGATTGATATTTATTTTTCTTTCTCTCACACACTAAATCAAACGCTTACTAAAAAATGTTTCCCTGTGTGAACCGGCACTAAATTGATTGCTGATTTTAATTCCCACAATTTAAAGATGTGTATTTCGAATAGCAGCTATTTGTGCTTTTAAAACTTTAAGTTTATACGGAGGAGACAAAAAAAGATAAATTACTTACGGGATTGCCGTTGGTAAAAATTCGCCATTAACTTCAACCTCATTGGTTTGCTTTGATTTGTGTTTAATCCAAACATAGTAGCTAAAAACTGCAATTATTGCAGTAATAAACGACGCAGAGACCAAAATTAACGCCAATCTCTAAAAAAAAGAAAAAATGTAAACATATGTATGTATGTATATTGAAAATAGATATTTAAAAATTTTATATTTTCTTTGAGAAGTCAAAAGCTGAAACTATAGACGATGATACTGTGAAGAAATTTATTCTATTCAGTAGTTTTCAACAAGAACTTCGTTTTCCAATAGCGGCATAGGAGTTACCCAAAAATAATTATTTTGGAAATCGATTACGATCAACACTCCCAGAGTGTGTTTTTCAGTTGCCAATTAATAAAGAGATAAGTTAATCTAAAAAAAGTTTAATCTAATGTTAATTCTCTTTGATGTTTTTCAGTGCAAGTTTAAACTTTGCGGTGCTGCCATACAAAACAACTTAAAACGGAGCTGTTTACTATCAAAACAATGCATGTTTTATAAAAAAAGAAGAAGACAACTTAAAGTGTAATATGAAAACTAACAAAAACTTAAATTAAAAAGAAAAAAATTATTGAAGTCTCCATAATTTATACATATCAGTACTTACCACATTGTCATCAATGGAATTTTTATTATCAACATCATGATCATCATTTGCTAATGAATTTAATGCACTTGATGGCACTTTAATTGCGAAAAACAAAAAAAATATATATATATTAATTCCCAATATATGACGTTATTAAAGACGATTTTTTACCTTTCAATTTTATTACATTCGACGGTCCCAGACACTCTAACTCATCAATAACATTCGAGTGTATATTTAAAACTGTTCCAGGTGTTAAATCACGATTAATTTCGATTTTAAACATGCCCTGTTGTATTCGATTGGACAATGATGAAGATGCATTCGACATGTAATTTGTTAATGGATAAATTTTTTCCAAAATTGGTAGATTTTTACCTCCCCATGATAATGATGGATTAGTTTGTTCGTTAATGCTTTAAGTACAAGATTGAATATGTAAATATTATTGAAGAATTATTGTTACCCAGTAAACATTAAGAAATTTTATCTTATACATATTCCAAAAACAATTAAAAAGCGATTAGGTGGCGACTTGTCAACATTTTTCAAGTCAGTAAAACCAAAATCACCTAAAATTTAAGTTAAAACCTACTGCTGAATTATTCGTCTAGTTCTAGTTGGGACATCGGATAACGAGTATCCATGTCGAAAATAGATTGATTTGATTAATTCAGAAATAATGACATTCATATCTTCCAGAGAAAATTGTTTTTTCCACAACATTCCGCGACATTCAAGTACAATAAATACTTACATGATTGATATCTTTTTGAGTTGAATATTCTTAAATATTTCTTCGTCGCTTGCTAGGGACCACTTCAAATGAATGGTGTGATTGTTAAATATCAATCCCACCGTATTTACTTTTGGCAGCGTACTCTGATGCTGACACGAGCACACACCTGATACACAATCTAAATATAAAATGTAAAATTGAATTCATCAGATTTCGAACAATATACTTATAAACTGCGAATATGTTTGTATATACTTATACATAATTAAAAATAATGGACAATTTATCACACATACATACATGGAATTGTTAATAGTTGTCGTTTAGATACTACTGCGTTGGAATTTTCCACCACCAATGTATAATTGCATCCGAACATGTATCTACACTCCACAATATCCAAGTAACTAATTGGATTTTCAGGTATTAATATAAAGTCTTTAGGCTAGAAAATGAAAGCGTAAATTAATAATCTGTGAAAGACAGTAAGTATCATTTGCAAATTAAACGAAAATGGTTAAAAATAAATTGTATCAGACATAAAGTCTATTTAAAATACTTTAATGTAATTTTCCGTTTACAAATTATATACTCAGGGCCTATTGTTCTTAGAAAGATTTGTTCCAAATAGTTTTAAAAGCAATTTCTTCAATCTTTCTTAAAATAATATTTAAAATGGACTATAGAATATATATATATATATATATATAGTCAATTTCGTGTCAAGTGACCAAATATTTAAAATCGATGTCTTCCGATTTGGATAAAAAAAATTTAAAATTTTTTTTGGAAACAACGAAGAAATAGCATAGTATTCATGTATGTATGTGTCATAGTTGTTCGTGCAAAATTAGAGGACTCCCATTTTTTCAAATATTTATATGGATTTCAATGTTGAAAATGCAAAATTTGAGATTTATTGCATTTAATTCATATGGGAGGTGCCATGCCCCTTACACTACGTACAACATTTGAGGATTCTAGATCCTAAATTTTCCCAAATGTAAAAACTTAAATCATATGGGGCACGGTAGCCCCTGTTGCTAGTTCGGTTATTGTTAACATTGATTTCAGTGTTGCTCGTTCAAAATGCGAGGATTCTAGCTATAATGGTCTCCTAGATATATGATGTGTTGTATTTAATTTATTAGGCAAATACTACATAGATGTCAACATTTTTTGTGTTAAATTTGAGCATTCAAGATCCAATAGTTTCCCCGATATACGAATTTTTGAATTTAATTCATATGGGAAGTACAAGGCCCCCCTTTTCTAGTCCACTCATATTTGTCTAAAATATTCATATTGATATCAAAGTACATAGTTCGTACGAAATCTGAAATCTGAATTTTTGTACTAACTTTATATGGGGACGACAAGCCCACTATTTCTTATCCGCCCATTATTGCACAAAATTTTCATTTTGAAACTAAAGTTTATAGTACAAAATTTGGGAACTGTAGCTGTTATAGTTTTGTAAAATTTGCGTCATTTGGTATTGGCCACACCCACTATTGCTGGTTCGCCCATTTTTGCCCCTAATATTCATGTATGTTTCATTTGAATAAAACCCTGTATGACCAAAATGTCCAACTTTGACCCCTCTGACTCCGGCAGTTCTTGACCGATATTTATGTCTGGTCTACCATTCCATAGTACTAAGCTTGGTGAAAATTTCATCAAAATCAGAATACATCGATTTTTAAACTTGACACGAAATTATCTTCTTGTGAATAATTTTTAGCAAAAGCCGCTAAAGTTATAGCGGTTTAAAGTTAATAGTTTAAAAAAATTCCCAAAATTACGTTTTTACCTGAAACTCGAAAATATAGGCGTGGATATAATCCACAACGAAGGACCCAAAATACGAATTAATTTAACCCAAATATTTTAAATATTCGTGGATAAATTAGCTTTTTAAGAGTTTTTTTAACCTCAAAAAAAAAAAATGTTTTTTTTATAAAACTAAGTACACATTTTTTTATAGATTTTTCTATAGACCTCATTAATAGCAACCTAAAAGAATATAATTTTATTAATTAGCGGGAAGGGTGTGCTTCACAAGTTTTTCTTAAAAGAAAAGCACTGCGTTTTCTGCACACGAAAAACTTTGATGCAAATATTTTTGTGGTTAGCCAATAACTGCTTGTTTATAATTATCTTCTGCTTCCATTTCTGAATTTAAATGAGTAAATAATATAAAAACCGTTAAAATGAAAACCTATATAAAGTTTGGAAATAAATTTCATACACATGACCGAACTTTTTTTAATGCATTTGATGCATAATCGTACTTTTTCTAACGCCTTGTCGATTTTGGTATAAGCATCATTGTCAGCTACCGATTAATGTTAAGTGTTACCAATTTTAATTAGCGGTTTAGGTGTGCTTCTTCGAATTATCTTGTAACTCAAGAAACACCGCGTTTTCGGCGAAAGATAAATTTTGATGAAATTTCTTTTGCAGTTAACATATCCCAGCATATCTAAAATTAACTGCTTTTATCATTTTTAAATTTAAATGAATTATTAACGCAAAAAACCGTTAAAATGAAAATCTATTCGGTTAATTTAAATTTTGTAAAGAATTTATATATTTACATGAATGAACTTTTTTACACTTTTTTAATGCAAAAACGCAGTTTTTTTCGAACGGCTTATCGATTTTCGTATTAGCATCATTGTCAGCTACCGGTTGATGTATAATGTCCCCAATTTAAATTAGCGGCTTAGGTGTGCTTCATCGATTTTTGTGGTGAAAGAACCCCGCGTATTCAGTCCATGACAGGCTTTGATTGAATTTTTTTGATGCAAACCAATTCTTTCCATATAAAGATTGATTACTGATAAAATTCAGAATTTAAAATTTGTTTATAATGTGGAAATTCGCTAAAGTAAAAAATTAAAAATTTGCAATTTTTTTGTATTCGCTCTAAAATCTTTGCATGCTAATATTTTATCGCTGCTTTATGATTTCAACATGTAAAATTTAAAAGTATTTCGATCACGCGATATTTTGGGTGTATTGAAGTTACGCTGTTAGTGTGCTTCGCGAAAAAGCCCTTTTTTCGAAACTTTCACGTTTGTTTTTCCAATATTTGAGATTCTCCCGCAGTGATACCTTCTAGAGCACATTTTGGATATATACATACATCAAACGACGCGTAATTACAATGTCTACTTTTTCTCATTTATGTATTTTGCATAACCGAAGAGCCGCAAATATTCTATCCAAAAAACTGCAAATTTTGTAAAATTGTATAAATTTGGTTTCAAAACATTGCGACCACGTAATTCTTTACTTATAAATGGCACAACAATTAAATATGGACTATAGTCAGTCAACAAGTATATACAGCTTACATTAGCAAAATTGACTTTCTAAGTTGTAAGCCGCCCTCATAATATCAAAAAGTTGTAAAAAAAACTACTTGGTTTCAATCACTTTTTTGAGAAATTTTAACTTTGAGTGTTTATTTCTCTAACATGGAACTACTCTCGACCACAAAATTTTATGGACGTATTCTTTCAAGTCTTGTGAATAAAAATTCGCCATCACTTAATTTTCAAAATATTAAACGAAAGAAATATTTAATGCATAAATTTGATTTCTTAAAATATGTATATGTTACCTTTGGAATTCCATATAAACTGCAAGGCATTTCATAACATTCAGTACTGTTTACAGCAGTGACGATGACATTATAGGAAGTATCTGCGAATTGAAATGAAGAGTAATATTCATAAGTACATATCGGTAAAAATGATACATCATCTAATATTTAAAGCAGTCATAATCTATTTACAAGTTTAAAAAATAATAACACGGTTCTGAAAAATTTTTGGTTTTACGTGACACACCATTTTTGTACTGTTCTTAAATAATCGGTCATAATTTGAATCAGGTCTTAATTTTTTATTTCGTAAAAAAATTTTATAGATTAAAAACATGTAATTTGTGGGAATCTTTTGGTCGTCTAGCATCAGTCGCGCAATGACATTGCGCTCAGTCGTAACATTTAAAATTCGACGGAAAATTTCAAATAATATTTATCATTTTAAGATTTTATCATATCCTCCTCTCAATGCGTTTTTATTATGATAGCATCCATAATCATACAAATTATTGTGACAAACATAAACTTGTTTGCTAAAATTACATGTTCGTGGTGATATGTTAAATTTAACACAAACAAATTTAACATATCGTTGCGCCATTGACGATAATTAAGTTAAATTTCTTGTAATATTATTATAGTAATTGCTGTACAGTTTTTATAGTATAATTTTCATTGTACATTAGTGAATTCAAAAAAAAGTTATCCTATAATATGTTTGCATTATGCATTAAAGTTTGAATAAAGTTAAACTTACCATTTGGCAAATTATCCTTCCAACTTAGTTTTAGTTGCAGTTCATCTTTATTTTCGTTCAATCCAATATCTGTTTCAATATCTTGTTAAAAAAGTATGTATGTATGTGTATTAGTAGATATTACAATACTACAAAAGGTCTAGTAATTTATTAAAATTTTAAACTTATTTAAGAATTAACAGCGTATATTTGTAATTACAGTTAAAATTTTAATACATATAGCTCATTTGCTACAAGAGTGGCATAATCCAAAAAAAAGTAGTTTCGAGGAAAATGAGAAATTAAACCAGATTCAGATAGTAGAGGTCAATATAATTCACATCTAAATTTAAACTTTTTAATTTTTAGGTTTAAAACAAAAAATCAATTTAACAACGAAAATAATAGACATAATTATTTGAAATATCATAAAACTCTAGGAAAGTCTTTAGTATGACATATGTTTTATAGCCCTCAGTTCAAAAACCCCGAATTTCGGATTATGCCAGTCTTGTAGGAAATGAGCGAAGAAAAACTTTCGAAATAATTCATAAATGAAACAAAAATTCATGGAGATGACGATTAATTTGTGAGTCGTTCTTGTTAAATTGTAATTATTTACCTGTAATTTCGCCATGAAGCAAACTCTGTAAAATAAAGATATTTTTTTAATGGAAAATAACACAACAATATATGTAATTAAAAAATAAAAATGTTTAAGGTATACAACATAGAAAAGGTATACATAGAACTGAAACTGAGTATGACAAAACCTAAGTCTGCTGTCAAAAACCTAAAGGCCCAACTATAATGTGCATAAGCTTGCTTAAGGTAATGTAACAATCGAACGAAAAGTCTCTCAAATGTTTAAGAAAATCCGAGGAAACTTTTAGGTGGCTATAATGTACTTACGTGTATTCAAAACAATTTAGCTCCATTTACACATTTATGTGACACACGTAATAAAAAAAATACATATTTCAAAATATTTTATTGAAATAAATTAATTTTCTTTTAGCTTTCCATTTTTTTCTTTATTTTCTTTGTGTATAATAAACAAACAATTGATTCCGTACGTAATGTGCTGTCAGTATCGCTCTTTGCTTAAGCAAATAAAATTTGACGAAACTTGACGAAACTCTCTTAAGTACATTATAGTTTGTCACATACATTTTATATGTGTTCGCACAGTTGCTTAAGCTGACTTCAGTTTGTTTAAGCATATTATAGTTAGGCCTTAAGTCGTGAGAATGTATTAGTTGAAAAATATGTAACCCAACAAACACAAACTCTTTCGTTTAAAAAGTTTTTATATTTTTGTTTGATATTATATTTCGATATTTTATGAAATAATGGTTTGAATTAGCCATTTTTATTCAATATCAGTTGACCAATGTAAGAAAGATCTTCATTAAAAATTATTTTTAATTTTAAATAAACTCTTTGTGGTTGCTGGGTTGAGTCAATATTGACACTTGAAAATAATATTAAAAAATAAAAACGATTGAAAAATTTGTTTTTTTTTTCTGAAAATGTTTTCAATAATTTTATGGGAAAACATAACTTTTAGCAGTGTTTATTGCAGCAGCAGGGGCTATTTTGCCAAAGGAATTGTGCTAATGCTAAAATTAACGCTTGATATGAACGATTATTGTTAATTTCAAAGCAGCCCAAATGCAGTCAAAATACACCCTACACCACACTAATGGGAACGGTATTTTGTTTACGTCTTAAAGTTTGTAACACCTGCGTCGATGTAATGATGTAATCCGCCCATAAATTAGCCTATTGAACTTTTTTGTAAGCGGTACATGCTATACAAGAATAGAGTATTTATAAAATTCGACTCAACAAATTTTATATATATGAAATTTTGACTATATATTGTTATAATGAGTAGTACTTTCATTAATTAAGCAAACATCAATCTCTTGAATATAACTTCTACATTAAAAAATACTAAATAACTTATTGCTACTTACTCGCAATGTGGTAGGGTATGGTGTATTCGGATACATTTTGTACTTTCATATTTTTGTTATTTTATGTAAACAAACATAAAAATACTCATACAATTGTATGAAATTCACACAGAACCTGTACATGTGAGAGAGTAATATTTCTTATTCTCAGTTTCAGTTCTATTTATTTTTCTATGGTATACAAATTCCATATATTATAATTTTTTCAAACAAAAAATCGAATTTCCCAATTTTAAAAAAGACACGCTTATATTTTGGCCAGTTTGTTCTGATTACATTTATTAGCTTTCGAAGTATTTTCCCAATTTATAATACAATTTTTAAATAATTTTTTATTGATTTTTCGAGTTGCACTTCAAGTTTTCAGTTTTTAGATGAAATAAGTTCATTTTATTTGTAATTATTCCCAGCAAAAAAAGAACTTCAAAAGAAGCGAAAAAGTAGAATTTACTCCATGGAAATACTGAAAAAGACCTGAAGAATTGATGATGTTTTTTTATTTGATTCCAAATTCACTACTTCTAAAGTCATTCTCAAGAAGTAATTTTTATATTCCTTTTTTGGAAGTTATTCGGAAGTGAAATTGTAGTATTATAGAATTTGACTTAACAGCGGTGATAAATGTTATTCTTTTGGAAGTACATACATACATATGTACTTCGTTTTATTTTTTGTTGGGATTATTATAAATTCTATCCACATTTATTTTTTGTGACAATTAATAAATATTACAAAACAAAATGTAATTATTTATCAACAGATGGCGATGTTGTACCTTTAAAATAAGTATGTTTATTGTGGTAAGTATGCCTAGCGGATACATTCACCACTTTGATCAAATGATCCAAGACAAAAACCAATAACGATGTCACCTCATCTTTCAAGTTGCTATGAGAGTTACTGCGAACAGTGTCGCCAGATGTGGGGATTTGTCCCCAAATTGGGGATTTCAAGTTTTATTTGGGAACAGATTTTCGTGGGGAGCGATTTGGGGATTTTCGTAAAATTTGGGGATTTTTTTGTAATTTTTCCGCTATTTTTGGGGATTTTTATTTTTTCTTAAAAATATTAACATTATTATTATTTCTAGTCTAGTTTTTATGGGTTTTCTAGGTTTAAACAATTTTAAAAGTAGCTTGGCAATTATATCACAAAAAATTAGAATGGGTTCATGAGGAGATCGCAAGAAAATTGAATTTTAGTAAGTAAATTAATTCACATTATTTATTTTTTGTTTGAATTATTTTTTTTCATCAATAAAGAAAAGTATAAATTTTTAAATTTGTATAGAAATGATATGGACTGTTTTACTAAAAGTTAACTTTCTAGAGATCCCCTCATGGTCCCATTCTGTTGTTTGTATATGTTGTATATTTTAGTGTAGTAAAAATGGAAGATACAAAAATTATAAAATCGGAAAAGTAGTTTAGAAAATATACGATATTAAATTTTATGCCTTTGAGAAAAAATGTGGATTTTCAACCTCTAAACCGTAACGAATTTGAAAATTTTGGAAAACTTTTAATTTTGTATTGATACAAAAAATGTGTATACCAAATTTCATCGAAATCAGAGAATCATGTTCGAAAATTTTTAAAATTACACATATCGAGACACTATATTCAAAAAGTGCTAATTCAAAAATGTCTAGTTTTCAGGAGAGGAAAAAAACTGTTTAATTTGTATAATGTTGAACAAATTAATAACTTTCTTTCCATAATATGTTTATAATAATCTTACCAAATTATAATTATATACAAATTAATACATTTTGTATTTTTCAAGGATTTATCTTTAGTTAGCACATTTTGTTCAAAGGAAAATTTTAAAATTGAAACATTTATTGGTAAAATAAAAATGACTATATTTCCGAAACTAAATATTGAATTCCAATTTATTAAACAGATTACTGTTCAGTATGTCATATTTTATAATAGCGGAGATAAATATTTAATAAAATTAATCTTTCAAAAAAATGTTGTAAAATTACTATTGGAGATAGCACTTATTTTCTTCAAAAAATATTCTACTTTGTGTAGTAGACAAAACAGATACAAAAAGCACAAAAGTTAATATTTTGATCCCAAATTTATACCAGACGTGGAGAATGTATTGAGGAATCATTTGCCATCAAAAACTCACTTTGGCCCAAGATTGAGTTAGCACTTTTTGAATATAGGGTGTCGATATATTGATATTAATATGAACATCAGGGAGATTTTCGGAATAAGTCCATTAATTATGTATCGAGGTTTACACAATTTAAAAGAGTTATTAGTTTCATATCATTTTTGTTAAATCTTATAGTACATTAATTTTTGAACGATTCACTACAGTAAACCGATTTGTTGTAAGAGAGGTAATATGGGGTGTTCGGTAGAGAGATTTTGATTCATATAACAATTGTTTGTGTAGAATTTCGTTCTTATACAGGCTTTATAGCGTGTAACATTTCTGTAACAAACCCAAAAATTGACTCTAAAATAGGTCCTAGGCACTTATTTTCGAATCAAATTAGTGGAGCACATTCATGAGATTCCACTTAACTGTTTTGTATGTATGTATTTTAACATGATATGTGGCAAAACTATTCACTTATGCTAAATTGAATTTTCAGTTTTGATAAAAAGTTAAATTTTGTGTTCAAGCTAAATTGGTAAGATAATTTCGATTTTTAAAAATTTTATAAAAGGGGAAAAAAAGTTTCGTTGTTTTTATAAGATTTTGTAGACAATTTTGTGTAAATTTATTATTAATTAAAAAAAATAAACAATTTAAAATTTCTTGTATCATAAAAATCGATTTTAAAATCAATCAAAAAATCATTAATAAAACGCTAATAACAAAAAATTTTAAATTTCTGAGTAAAACGTATTTTATTATTTACCGAATTCTATCATGTCCCAAAAAATCAAAAAGATTTCAGCTCTTGGACTATAAAGGGTTAAAGTTATTTTCTGAAGGGACTTATATGGGGGCCAGGGATAGCAAATTACATTTTAAAATTTTACAAAATTGCGTGAAAAATAGTACATTTTTGCTTCTAATTGTACCAAATCATAATTATTTTACTAAATTAATATTAAAGTGGGAGTGTCCTTAATCGAAACAAAAACATTTCAAGCTATACATATGTTAGGTTGAGAGGAGGATGCATAATACATCAAATCCTAAGAAATACTCTTAGGTCACTATAGTACCTGTTGAGCTCCCCTTATCCGAAGTACAGAAACTCTGTTTCTAGATGTAGTTCTTTAAAATGTTCCAATCAGTGTGCGTGAGGGATGTTATATCTGCTCCCAAGATATTCAGCATAAAATTTTCCATAGAAAATTAGTCTGATCTGTGTATAGCTATTTTACATGTATTTGGTCTAAAATGCAATAAAAATTTTTATATTGCATAAAACTTTAATAGATATTGCGGAAATACTAGATTTTTTCACATTTGAATGGACTCATACTACTTTCAAAAACAATAATTTTATAATTTTGCTAATTTATTATTTTTTCATACAAAAAGGAACTCATATCAATTAGCAAAAATTAAAATATATAGTTTTATTGTATTAGAAGAGTCTGCGAAATTTTTCGAAAATTTCAACTTTTAGCAGAGATGCTGACAAAATCTCAGATGAGTGATTGGTGTACTACCATTGTACTTTT